ACCCCCCCCCCCCCCCTAACCCCCTCCCCCACCCCGCCATAAAAAATAACGTTTGAAGTCCCCCAGCTTTATCATATTTCGCTGAAAATGAATACTAATATTCTCTTCTATCGCAACGTGTTTTCTTGGAAAGACATTTATTCGTCGATGTAAGGTTATGGCAGCTGCTTGTTTGTAGAATGGTCTGAAGAACTCGACGGGAAAAATCCCAAGATGGACTTCCTGTGCCCTTTCATTTTCGAGGCTTCCATATCCATCTCCAACAAGCAGGACTTTCAGACTAGCTATGATAGTTATACGAAAAGGGAATGGGATAGTTTTGAGCAAACGTTTAATTCCTAAGTTGTGTTGTCATTAAAGCTGTCAGAGGAGGCCAGGTAAGTCAAGAATTGAGAGAATTCATTCTTGATCAACCGCCTAGCACTTACAATAGTTTTACGCCGACATTTGAGTTCAAAATTTAAAGCCGCGTCAAGAATATTTCGTTCTTAATTAGTTTTTGGTTGTTGAACTGCATTGTTCAGTAAAATACAGCAAATTGTATCGGAAAATTTGTTTCTTTAGTTGAGTAGTTGAGTTCATCAGTTCATCACTAGGAATAAAATGAACAAAATTCGCTCTTATTTGATGCATACAAACACGAGCTGCCTTAAATCGATTTTACCGATTTCAGTTCAGTATATGTGTTTATAGATATGAGAAAATGAAATTCCATTTCGTCTTCCGGGAAATTTACAAGTTTATTCACCATTAAAATTGATTGTGCTCAGTTTAACTTACTCTTAAGCCTTTATGGCAAAGATTTCTACGATTGAATACTTTACCTTCCTCGCCAAATCCTTTAAACGGATCAGCCTGAAAGATCCATACGTATCCGTTTACCCACTTCGATCTTTTTCCCGGAATTCAAACCACGAAAGCCATTAGCTTGAAGTACTAATCAGTTACAGCAGGAAAATAATATTAATCACTTAATGCTTTTTTGTAATATTCAGTGATACAAGTTGTTCAGTTACCGGAAATCCGTAGTAGTTGAAAATAAACTCCAAACTATAAAGAGATCCCAGATGAATACTACACTCTTCTAATTGAGACTAGTTCACGCCTAAATCCGCATAACACGACAAAAAAATAGCTTCAATCGGGTGCAAAATCAAATTATTTATCTATGTGATTACTATTCATGTGGGACCAAGCTTTTCCGGGAAATTGGCTGATAAATCGTATTAAAACATATGTATACTTTGTTATTGACTGTTAAAAACACCCTTGAATGTAACTTTAAAGCTTTCGTTTTTAAAGTGTTTGTTCGCTCGTGAGGCAGTAGTCCATCTCAGCCCTTAGTAAAGAGCAGCTGAGGATGCGTGCTCTGTCTACTCAACTCTTCAGTAGTTGTCAGTGAAGCACGTGCAATTATAATTTCTAAACAATCAAGTCATAACTTCTTTCAGAAGGGTGGAGACTTGATACCGTGTGCCTCAACTAATCTTGAGAAAGAAAAGTCGTTAATTGTATGAATTACCGGAAGCTAAAGGCGGAGTCAATAACTTGCATTTTTCTGACCAGCTTTAGTAGATAGCNAGTTTAACTTACTCTTAAGCCTTTATGGCAAAGATTTCTACGATTGAATACTTTACCTTCCTCGCCAAATCCTTTAAACGGATCAGCCTGAAAGATCCATACGTATCCGTTTACCCACTTCGATCTTTTTCCCGGAATTCAAACCACGAAAGCCATTAGCTTGAAGTACTAATCAGTTACAGCAGGAAAATAATATTAATCACTTAATGCTTTTTTGTAATATTCAGTGATACAAGTTGTTCAGTTACCGGAAATCCGTAGTAGTTGAAAATAAACTCCAAACTATAAAGAGATCCCAGATGAATACTACACTCTTCTAATTGAGACTAGTTCACGCCTAAATCCGCATAACACGACAAAAAAATAGCTTCAATCGGGTGCAAAATCAAATTATTTATCTATGTGATTACTATTCATGTGGGACCAAGCTTTTCCGGGAAATTGGCTGATAAATCGTATTAAAACATATGTATACTTTGTTATTGACTGTTAAAAACACCCTTGAATGTAACTTTAAAGCTTTCGTTTTTAAAGTGTTTGTTCGCTCGTGAGGCAGTAGTCCATCTCAGCCCTTAGTAAAGAGCAGCTGAGGATGCGTGCTCTGTCTACTCAACTCTTCAGTAGTTGTCAGTGAAGCACGTGCAATTATAATTTCTAAACAATCAAGTCATAACTTCTTTCAGAAGGGTGGAGACTTGATACCGTGTGCCTCAACTAATCTTGAGAAAGAAAAGTCGTTAATTGTATGAATTACCGGAAGCTAAAGGCGGAGTCAATAACTTGCATTTTTCTGACCAGCTTTAGTAGATAGCAACGTAATCTGCTAGTTCAGTACAGTACAGGAGGTAGCACTGAAGCTGTCGCAAAGAAATCTCAGTGGAAGCCGAGGAAAAGTTGACACCAAGAACAAGATAGTGTTGTGGAGATTCTATGATAGCCATATTTCCCAATGTTGTCAGTCTATGTTAAACTAGGGGTAAAGAGGAAGTAGATGAGAGAGCGTGAAATACAGAGACTACTCGTTCCTTTATTCGAAGAAAAAAGTGTTATAACAATGGATCTTCAGACTCTAAAGCTTTTAATTCATTTCGGTCGTGCGAACTAGAGGGCAAGGTCTAAAATCTTACAAACCTTAAAACAAGCGTCTAAGTATGCAAATCAGCACACGTGATTACTTCCTTTGCAGATGTATATTCAAAACTGAAAGAAGCTTATAGAAGCATTTTTGAGGGAGCCAGTTTTGTTCAAGTAATTCCAACAGAACAGAAGCCTCGGTATACGAATCAAAACGACACTTCCTTACATTTCTTGCTGATTGTTCAGGTACAAAAGGTGAGTTGGTTTAAATTCAGAAATCAACAATGATCATTTTCTTTTTAGCCTTCATTTTGTTTTTTAGCTGTGCTCAGATGTTTTCAGTCAGGAAAGTAACGTTACTAGTTATTCTTCGCTGGTTGGTTGTATTAATGTTAAACTGACCAACAGTTCCAACAAAGTAAAGAAAAACATACCACAATAAAACATGTGTATTTTACATTTTCCCTGACTTTTCACTGCGGAGAAAGGATGCATTTATAATTTGCTTCATTGTTGCGAAACTAGAAAATTAACATTGTTTTTCCGGGAAACATTGACTATAAAATTTTTCTCGAAAATCAGATGGATAAGAGCCAAATATTTTTGAGGTGTAAACGACCTCTTCGTTTCGATTCATTAGTTTTTCAAAGTTGTAGTCAGCAGATAGAGATCAGAGGGATACTTCTAAGTGTGAGAACTGTTCTGTCAAGCTTAACAGTATGTAGGAATGTGACGTGAAGCCGAAAACGCCTATAAAAAAAGTGCATTGCTTGATCCTAAAAGTCGGTATAAGTTGCATCTAGTGAGACAACCTGACCGATTTCCCCCAAAACGTTTCTCCAGGCACTACTTCCGCTTAGTCGAATCGGTTCTCAGAAAATATGTTTAATGCAAACATGGAGAGTCGACTGAGTTGTTTATCTAAAACGGAAATAATATAAAACACAGCTCACCTTTAATCGTCAATAAAGTATGAGCACAGCCATGTTCTGTTAGAATATTGTTACTCAGACAGTTTTTATTTTTCGTTTCGAAGATCTCTAAAGAGAAACTAGAGAGTCTATGAACAGGCTATATTACTGGGCTGCCTGTGCGGCCCAGTCATAAAATGGGCTTTCGGTCGTCTGCGGCGAAAAACGGCCTCCCGGGGGAGGGAAGACACGAGGGTCTGGTACCTAGAAACGATGTTCTCACAAATGGTTTCATATTATTTTCTCTTGCACGAACCCTTGTACGGATTCTTTTTGTACCTCGTCTGCGCTCCCCCTGAAAAACCCACA